TCGCACACTTTTTGTGCCAGCTCCAGGTCGACGGCCTTCACGAAGGCACACCCGAGACTTCTGCTACACTGTATTCTCAGCACTTCACTTGGCTCGGAAGTTGAGCTTGGCTCGGAAGTTGAGCGCTCACTGACGTTGATCGATATTACATTTTTTTTTGCTGTGTTGGCTATAGTCGCTATATTCATAGTCTGGTGGATAGAATCTCGGGAACCAATTGAACTGTCAAATAGCGGAACCAATCGAGCAAATCACGACCAACAACAGAAAAGAGCACATCAGCTATTGCGAACAAACCTTCGGAAACCCTTTTCTCGTAACTCAAGGCTTGTCTACGCAAACTAACACCATCTTTGGGTTGGGGAAAGTTTCCCTTATCCGATAATGCTGGTAATTTGCGTTCGATTGGCGAAGAAAGAATAATCAACGTTTTGTTTATAAAAGTTGATAGTGCCTTTTCAATTGTTGGTCTAAAATATATTGAATTGTTTCCGCTTTTTGATAGATCGAAATTCTATCCGCCAGACTATGAATATAGCGACTATATTGTTGGCTGGTTCTACCAGGGGCGAGATGTGCTTTGAAATCTACCAACTGATCATCCATCCACGATATGTAAAAGGTAAGGTGCAGTGAATTAGCCGTCTCATTCATTTTCTCACTTTTTAAATGGTTATACGGGTGTAACATCCAACTCCGTTATACATTTAAACAGTCGAAGAACGAAAGAGACGACAAATTTACTGGGCCTCACCTGTTTACGCTTATTGATTTTCCAAATCTAGAGTAACATTAGAAAAGGGCCTATGTCCAACGCAAACAAACCAGAAAATGAATTTTAAATTTTTCCGCCACTATTCAATTCATATTTAAGAAAATTGAAATATTTTAGGCATTTATATTGTTCACAATAACAATAGTAACTGTATCTCAGTATACAACATCCAAAATATGCGAAAAGCTTTCAGAAATATATAAAAATCGATAACAATTTAATTTCATAAATTAATAAGCCTTTTTGTTAATCTTTCAATGGATAGGCCCTTTTTGTTAAGCCGTTATTCTTGTCATCAGATATGGTACGCCCTTTGCTAAGCCTTTTCGCAACGTCAAATAAATTCAAAACAAATCATCGGCCCTGCCTCAACCAGTAGGGCCTAGCTTTGGTTTGAAAATTTTCAATGATCGGCCCTTCTACGTCACTAGGCTTATCAATGAAATGAAATAAATGAATGGTTGGCCGTTTTAGCGTGCGGGCTATTAATGAATCGAAAAATTTCGTTGATCGGCCGTTTCGAAAATCGAGTTATTTTTAAAGATTTTTCTCGATTATGCGGAACTTTCCTTCACGATTAGTAGCTATCAAGCGGTGCTCAAGAATGATATCAAACCCCGATTTGTTTACGTTTTGGACATAGGCCCATTTCAAATGTTACTCTACAAATGTGAATTTGATTCCAAACATAAACATACCATCGTTGCTTATGGCTTGTTATTGTTTGGAACCAGTTATGCGAGGTAGGCGACGATTGTTCGTATTTTACAGTCACCTCCCTTGGGTTTTACACGTTAGAACAGGTAGCCCATTGGTAGGGTTACCATATCAAAAACTTGAAAAGGAGGACATTTCATTTGAGGTTTGGAGATTAAGGAGGACCTTCCTTTTCTAAACATTAAAGGAGGACTATGAGTTTTTATCAAACGTTTTAGTAATATGTGCGCTATCACAAAATTCATGATTTGCGAAGGTTCAATTGAGATTGTTCTTAATTTGTAGTCGTTATCAATTCAATTCATCTTCTCGTTATATGTACATCTGAAAAATGCATCAAACTAACCTTCATAATTCATTTTTGATACTTGGAAATGATCTAGTCTAGCTTATGCAAATGAAAACTGCAGCTTTACAGCCTTCCCAAGTAACAATTTTTGGTTTGATGAGGGTTCTGTAGACCATGCTTTAGACTTGTAGAATGCTTTAAAACTTTGATAAAACTTGCAATGTTATTTGGGTTAAAACCTTCCCAACTTTTATAATGCACAAAAATCAGGATATATTCAGGATCCGCTTCACTCGCAGTATGGCAGTGGCCAAATCAAGCGTAACTGGTTGGTTGGTTGTCTTTATTAATACCTAAAATTCCATATAACTAGAATGTCACTCTGTGTGGCTGTGTTTCATTTAGTGAATTTTATCTTAAATTTGATAGATAGATAATTTTCAAATAAACCTGATATTGTACCAGACTTATTTCTGGCATACCAGGACTCAATTTTGGCAAACACCTTCTTGAAAATCACACGATCAAGAATTTTTCTGAGAGTTTTTCGAACATTATAATTTATTTTCGAAATGTAGAATTTAAGTAAAAATTCAGAAAAATTGATGATTTTTCACTGATTTTTCGAAATTACCTCTTATGTTGATCGTCCTATTTTCGAGAAATTGTTTGTCAAAATTGATTCCTGGTTTGTCTGATATAAATCTGGTAGAATAGCAGTTTATTTGAAAATTTTCCATCTGTCAAATTTAAGTTAAAATTCACGAAAGGACAGCAACCTTGACCGTAGCCTAAATGCAGGGGGTTGACAGCTGTAGTATACTCCTAGTCCCACCAACGGATGACATTTGTGACATAATGAAACAAATATGTCACTATGTTACAGGAAAAAATGCAACGATTAAAAAGGAGGACATTTATGGGCAAAAGGAGGACGTTGAAAAATTATTGAAAAAAGACATGTCCTCGTTTAGGATACCATACGGTAACCCTACCCATTGGTGATGCTCTGGTGGGTTATTGAATCGTTAAGCCGAGTTGAGTTGTCAACGTGGGCAGGATACATATACATTTACCTCCTGAAGATATCGAGATAATTCAAGCCAAACAATGGATCAAGTCCTAAGTAACATTAACAGAATCTCTTCATCGATTTTCTCTGCATCCCCACGGCCATGTAAAGATATTTCCAGCTATTTGCATTACAGTTCGATGGGCGAAAGAAATTATTCAGCCATTTTCTTGTTTACGTTCGAACCATACAACAATTTTATATGATTCGAACGAAAACAAGCATATGGTGATTATTTAGCATCAGATATAACAAACACGACAAGAAACGGTTTTGTAGCCAAGATATTAACGAAAGAGAAAGTAGATGAATGATAGTTATGACCTTAAGCATTGTTCGGGTTGAATTCGTCGGGTGCCTATCAATGTTCTTTATATAAGGTCCGGACCAACAGGCTTATTGGTGTTAGTAAAATGTCAAAATGTGTAAATGTTTAGTGGTTTCGTAGGGGAAGTGGATGTAATGTCGGCCTAAATGCAATCGACTAAATTTTCAATAGCGACCAAAATATCCATTAGTACCGTCCCAATGATGCGTTCATCTAGATAAAATTGATAGCCGATTTTTTGCGATGGGCCCAATCTTAGATCCATAGGCTAACATTAGAGCAATTTCCACTACTTCATTGCAATGTTTATCTTTTTACACGAAACAGCTGTTGGCTCACGTAATATGGAATGTTTGGTAGAGTGACGTCGTCACTTGAGTGCTTAGCAATGGTAAAATAGGTTTGTTTATATTGACCTAGACCTTATATAAACATCATTGGACCCTGACTACCCTACCTTGAACGTACTGCGTTCCAGCGTCGATCGTTTTTGTTATAAACCTATCATGATGAAAATTTTCTTGTCGATCATTTTTTTAACATATCATAACTCTTCTGAGCAAGGCATAAACAAAAGTTCAACAAGGACCACTACCGTTGATTACCTTACATTTTTAAGGTTTCCCTATCCAAGCTTCCTATAAACATTCTTCCATTATTCGTTAGCCGATCATGCAAATCTCATACCAGTATCCTGCGAGGAATGACCGAACCGGTGCACCATCTAAAGTCGACTAAATTCTATCAACGTCCAATCAGTAATGCTGTTTCATCTAAATCTCACATTCAAAACAGAGCCACATCCAACACGACACAGAGCTCTTTATTCACGCTCTCCCATCAGTTGATACCACTCTGCATAGCAAGCAAAGAAAAAAAAAAACCCCACAACAAGAAGAAATCAGCCGATCAGGACCCGACCGATCACATGGCCGGACGCTTCCGGGAACCACTTCCGACAGGTTCCACAGCCCAATAGGTTTGTCCTCTTCGGCAGTCCGCGAGCGACTGATGATGGTCGACTTCTCTTTTCGATTTTCAAACCTCCGCTATTCAATTCAATGCACGGCAAGTAAGCATCACAACGAAAGACGCGAATAGTGGTGGTCCGGTTTGAGGGGGTTTGGAAGAGAATGGTGGGTGAGCTATGTGGAAAATAATGCTGCTTGCTACAAATACAGAACGTTCAGTCAGCACAGGCAGGAGGCCACCAACCACAGTGCCAGTCAACAAGTTTAGGAGGGACGGAATAGTGATGCCAGCTGCGGATCAACAATATTCCGCAGTCTGTTCCGGTATCAAGCTTTATGAGAATCCAATGCGATTTAAAGCAGTTCTGAAGCAAGTATTTTTTTTATGAAAGGCTTCTAGCTCTCGACAGTATAATATGTCTGTCCTTCAAAATACTTCCCGGAAACTCGCACGCAGATCCCGCTGAATCTGGCAACCGTGTGCAAATGAGCAGCAGTAGTTCCAATCGAATCCGAAAGCAAAACAGAGCGCCGCCGTTGCGCTGTCGTCTGTATTATAAAGATATCGCGATGAAGAGGAAAGCGAACAGAAACAATTTGGACGCTTTGCTGTACGGAACGCCCTGTACGTGGCAGCTTCGGGAAGGAATTTTAATGCTGATTTCGAAGTTTTCTTCCTCCCGTATTCGGAGTGTTTTCGTCGTCGGATTTGTCCGTTTCGGGTAAACTTCCACCGGATTCCGCTTTGGCCAATGCTTCCGAACTACTTCCAGCGTGAATTTTCGCCATCCAAAATATTTTCCCATTTTCATGAAAAGCCAATCCTGGCGAAAGTGAACGATACTCACTCGACAACAGTACAACGTAGAGAGCGGACGCGTTATTTTCCTCCTCTGCTGCGGCTTTGGGAAGCGCGAAAAAATTGTCTGCTATCAACAAATCGCGTCTTTCCCGCGATCAGTCGCGTTCAAATCCTTTTCGTCCGTATTTCCACCTTCTTCAGAGTACAAAATTCACAAAGATGCACCAATCACCAGCGGGCTCCAAAACATCCAGAAAATTTTTCACTCTTGCGCCCGCAGGAACGAAAAAAAAAACAGTTTGTTCCCAAACGGGCGACACTAGCGCGTTTCGATCACAGCTTTCCACCGTGATGCGGCCACTAATCCACCGTACTGCACCGTTCCGGAACGCCGCGACACTTTAACTCAAACTTGGCACTGAAATTTCCCGCTAATACATCGCGCAATGAGCACTTTTGGACGAAAAATTTTCCAGCGCAGAAAATCACTACGTTCCTCTACCGTTCGCCATTTGCATTTTCTGAATCGTCGTCGTCGTTCGCGTTTGTCGATTGAAAAACTGAAAACTCTCTCCTGCTCCGAAACGCAGCGATTCGGGAGAACTGCGAGAGGGAAATTTCGAATATCGACTTCGGTAAGAGAGTGACCGGGTGTGCGAGGGAAGTGGCAGATCCAGTTGGTGCACCATGGACAGACGGGCGAGCGGGACGGCCTGCGATGCAAGTAAACAAAACAGCGCAAACGAAGAGGAAGATGCGACTGCGTCATCTCACGATGGTGAGCAAATTTCCGATACTTTGCGGGAGAGAGAGTGAGGGTTGTTTGTGTTATGATGTTTCAGGGGTGGGATGAGTGGAGGACGCGTCACAGAGTAAAATATGCCACCTGGGTTACGGGGAAGACTGGTCTTGAATTAAGGTACACTCAAAAATATTACTAAATAACATAGATTAAAATTTAATTATTTTATGCTTTAACAATGTTTATACATAGATTCGATTAAAATTTATTTCAACATTATACTAAGATTGTATAGTAGTGAAGAATTCGTTCAGTTTAATTCGTTGATTTATTTTTGATAGGCTTGAAAAATTAATCGTGAATTGAACAACGCACGGAAGATCGGTATCAAGACAGGTTTAAGGCACCGACGGAACTTCCAACCGAGAACGAATTAGAATCACTGTTGACGGGTTCCTACTGGTGCCCTGGTGTATATCAACGGCTAGTGTAAAATCTTTACGAATCTAGTCATACCTGACGATGAGCTGATTAATCCGAACAGTGGCGTCGGAATAGCAAGTTACGGTGATCAAGAAGGAACTATTGCCGGAATTTGAAGATTGCCAGTTGCAGGTTTTGTTAAACACAATCGTAACACAAGCTTGTAAGTGTTGAATATCGTTTTTGTCATGTTTATGTATCACACGTTGCAATCATGCGTTCAATTGGTACGCAACTCCGCCGCAGCAGATATCCACATTCAACCGGAGATCGATCCAGATCCATTATCAATTGCAAAGATGATCTACCGGGTGACAATATTTGGGGGTGAGTGATGTGGTTGAATAGAAGATAGGATTCGAATATTGCTTCCTGGTGCCGGATCGTGACATTGTGTCAGCTAGCTGATGCTGATAAGGGAGGCAAGTCTATCCGTCCCCACAACGCAGGATCCATTTGGAGTTCAGCCCAACCTGGAGGATTATTTTGATGCGGTTGCGGAACGGATCCGGATAAAAGAATTACTCACCCTTTAACGGGGAGCAAGGATGACATTTGAGTACCATTATATCTTATTGTGACGATAGGTAAGATTGATTACAAGTAAAATAAAATATTTTAAAGATCTTTCCCTAAATTTTTGCTCCTTTTACGTTTAACAAAATAAATGACAAATGTAAATGACAGCAACTGCAAAATCTAAATTTAAATAATTTTCTTGAAAGCATCGAAAGATTACTTGCACTTTATACTACCCATGCATAAAGCATTTTTATACTAAGTTTGTATTCTCTCGCTTTATTCCGAATTATGCGTCGGGAAGGAGAGTTGCGATTTAGCGTAACTTTTATACTATGATTTGAATATTTTTTGAGTGCAGAGTGCCTACTTATACACGTTAAGAAAAAAGTATTTGCCTACTTTTGACTAGATTGTCTCATTTTCTCCTTCTAATGTTGTCAAAAACGGAGGAACAAAACCACTCAACAGCCCGCGTAAATGCAAACCATTACTTGACCTTACCAAAATTGGTTAAAAAAAATTGTGTATAATCCCTGCTAAACTGAACTGAAATGGTTATGGAACTTTACATGTACGTTTGTGTGATACAGTTTTGAGCTTATGTATTAAGGTTTTTTGGAAGTTAACCTTACACATAATGGGTTGTTAAGAACCATAACCATTCCAAATTCTTGTTTTCTCCATACGTTTTTGGGAAAGGAATTATTTTGGAACCATTTTTTTTTATAATTTGGGAACTTTAATGGTAATGGTTATGGTAGTCGGTAAGGTTCATAGGTGGTTTTGTAACATCCATCAACTTTATGTGGAATACATCGCAAATTGGTTACCTGTAAAATTCTGATTACCAATTCGCGATATATTCCACGTAAAGTTGAGCGATAATACAAAACCATTAATGGACCTGGCTACCAGTAAATGGTACTGCCATTAAAATTCTCAAACCATAAGTAAAAAGGTTCTAATATAGTCCTCTCTCCAAAAATGTGTGGAAAAAACTACTATTTTGAATGGTAATGGTTCTTAACAATCCATTATTTGTAACGATCACTTCCAAAAAAAAACCTTAATACATAATGTTAAAACTTTATCACACAAACGTTCATGTAAAGTTCCATAACCATTTCAGTTAAAGTTTAGCAGGGATTATAAACAATTTTTAACCATTTTCGGTAAGGTCTAGTTATGGTTTGCATTTATGTGGGAGGGGTACACACCAAATTTTGGAATCGAGTTCCAGCAAAACAAATTGCTGAATGGCTTCCAGCAAAACTATTTCTTACTGCATGTTCAGGCCACAGACAAACAGACATAACTCTCGCAAGTTGTTCATCGAACAAGGATTTTACGGTCAATTTAAAAGTATCATAGTTGGTAGTACCGCCACCTGTGGCGCGCATAGTCAATTCCCTTGCGTTTGACGTTTGCACACTACCGCCATCTGTTCAGCGTACTACCCACCACAGTGTACTCAACAGATGGCGGTAGTGTTTTAGCGACGATGTTTTACAGTGAGAAATATTCAATGTGTTATGTCTGTTTGTCTGTGTTCAGGCCATGAACCATTTGGCGAGTTAAATTTAACTCGTGGTTAAAAGTGACATTTCGAAAGTTATTCTTGATGTTCGAAAATCCCTGTGCTGTCGATCGACAGGTTTTCAAAAAGAACTCAGCCACGGTTGTCAACATTTAACTTCTTGTCTGTTAGAAATAACCACGCTCGGATAACAGGGTTAATCGATAACTTTTCATCTGTCAAATTTTAACCAAAAGTTAAAATAATCCACCAAATGGTTCAGAGCCTCAGTAATTTGAGATATTTTGCTGGATGCTCAGTAACTTGTATGAAACGTCAAAATTATCACCGTTCACTCTCCCGCGTATTCTGTTTTTCTATTGAAGAGAGCAACTAATCATGAATTACAGGTGAAATATAATTAGAAAATTCGCAAATGTATAGTGAACTCAATATATGGATTACACCGATTCTCTGTAAATCTGTAGCTGCAAAGATTGCCGGGTTGAACATCAAATGAGTTTAAAAATCATCGATAAATCCAACGAAATTATGAATTACTTTGAAATTAATTCAACGCCTAAAAGTGAATAATCAATGTGATTGATATGTGAAATGTTCATGCGTGTAATAAAATACCAAATACAATTGAGTTTTATATCAGTTTGAAAACCAATTACAATTCAATTGTTTTGTATCAAATAACTGGTCTTTCAGCAATATCATTGCCACTCTAATTTGTTGGATATCCAGTACGTGTTACTGAATTTCCAGTAAATAGCTGTCACTTTTATGTAGGATCAATTTGCTTGTCGTTCAGCAAAAATATTTTCCTGGAAGAATTGCTGGTTTTACAGGTCGGCAAAATCCAGCAAAATTTAGCTGGTTTCCAGCGATATAAAAATAGTGTGTATGCAAGGTGTTATCGTGTTTATGCTGCTCCCTTTAAATATTGCGCGGTTTTTTTTTTATCAAAACAATCACATCAACATTAGACATACCTATTTCTTATTTACTCGATTAACAACTAATCGATTATTTGTGGTTCGCTGTGCTGTCATTTTTTCACATATGATAGTACAGAACATGTTCGGAACGATGGGTGACGATCCTCTCGAGAAGTTAATGCTTACTTGGCATGATATATAACCGATTACAAATATGTAACTTTTCGGTTCGTTAATCGATTAATCGATTATATGAATGAAAATCGGCCACCACTAGATGAATATGAAACGTCATTTCAAATATAAGGGCCATTCATAAATAATGATATAATCTGAAAGGGACCGGGAATAATCACAAATTACGTCCCCACGGTAACTGAAATAAACACGAGTGCTGACCGCAGAAAGCTAGTGGAAAATTTCATACGAATTGCACACAAGTAATTGAAAACTACTTTGACCGCTTTGCCTACCTTTGGGTTCCTGTACTATAGTGCCGAGATGAGTGAAAAGAACTTACTTTTGGGTACTTTTGACGTAGGACTACGTCTTTCGGGAAGATGGGGGTACACTTTATGATAACCGAAAAATGAAATTATGAAAGATTTTGAACGTTAATAAATTAGCTGTCCCTGGACCAATTTCAATAATTTTATCACCAATCGATCAGAAACTTTTCTACGCATCGATAACAATGCTTTTGACTGTTGATTTTTTAATTGAAACTATTGAAAAGGTGGTAAATGTCAAACATTGTCCAGAAGCTTCGAAATAACTAATAAACACAGCAAAAAAAGTTGTTGAATATTACATCGAAACTGCTGCAACCAGGTCAATTCATCGGTTGTGTAATATCACATTGTACGATGTACATCGATTTTGCGAACAAGATTCCATCCATTGATGTAATATTGTATCTGCTTTTTGCTATTACATCATTATTTCATACATCAGCTAGAATTACGTTGATCGATATTACATTTTTTTTTGCTGTGTAGACGACATCCATGGCCGTGACGGTTTTGCGCTTGGTGTGTTCAGTGTAGGTGACGGCATTACAGATCATATTTTCTAGGAACACCTTCAGCACGCCTTCCAGCAAGCTTTGTCGATATTGAGAAATTGCCGAGGGGGGCGAAAGTCCCAGATTTATTCAATTTTAGCAAGAAAATCTCTTCAGTTTAATGATTTCATTAATATTCAGCCAAATCCATTTTATCCGATATATTATCGAGCTTAAATCTCTAAAAAATAAAAATATCGTTTTTATCGACATATCGGGTCACATCTCTAATTTTCATGTGA